AGAAAAAGAATGCTGTTTTAAACACACTCAATTCTGTGGACCAAATCCTGTCCCACTCCAATACAGGCAGGGAGTTTGGCAGGACTGCTCACCTTTTTGAATGCTTGTTGAACAACCCAGCCTACCTTGTACACACCAGGGTGTCAGGCTGTAAACTGTACACACAGAACCCGGGCCAGGATGAGATGCCCCATTACCTGAGCTCTAAGAGCACATTTCCCATCAACTCTATTAAGGAATCAATGTTGTCAAGTCCGTCAAAGGAACCCTTCAGAAAGGAAAATTGCAATGTTCCCCTTCTCCCTTCCAGCCTCAATGGAAAAAAGATCTAGAAGAACTTCTCTCAGTTCCCATCTGCGGATTTAAAGCAACAGGATATATATCCTCCCATTTTCTGGGCTTTTAGTAATTTAAATATTTTAATCTTTAAATTTAAATTTCATAAAATTATTATATTAAATTTATAAAATTTAAATTTTATAAATGTTTAAATGAGAATATTTAAGAGGTTCCTCAGTGGGGAAAATGGATGAGAGCATGCACTTTGAACAGAAAGTAATGAAAGAAAAGGTCTTACCACTGATTCTCTCATCTTTTCTGGGAGTGGATCTGCTGATGAATCTTCAAATTGTTGACGTAAAAAGTGAGGGACATACTTGCACTGAATAAGGGACCTGTTGAAAAAAAAAAAAAATCCTAGTTAGGGTACTTCTAAACACATCTAATATATGAATATTCCTGGGGGACAGAGAAGGAGGAACAGCCTCAGATTTCCTTTATGTATGCAGTCACTATGTTATCTCTGTATAGCTGGAGATTGACACAAACCAGCTCTACTTGTAATCCAGGTAGAACTTCCTGGTCAAAATGTTAAGGAGTCTGAGCAGTCCAACCAATGTGACTCAGTCACATAGTGGAATGAGCAGAGAGGGTACTGTTCTGTTCATGCCCTGTATTAATGTTTCCACTAAGCTGAAACCAGTGCGGAAGCTGTTTAGACCCACATTAGAAAGGCTAAAGAAGCTATTTCTGTACAAATTGTATATTAATCCTCAGTTCAAGATTTATGTGCTACCTCCTCCTCCATCTTGAAGTTTATGCCACAGGCGATCCCTTAGATACTGCCTCCAATCTCCTTAACTTCTTTTAATTAAGTTCAGAGCTGTTTAAAAAAAAACCTTAAACCTCTTTTTTAAAAGATTATACATTTTATAATGATTGCACAATAAACATTTGATGTTGCTGTACACATACTCTTAACACTAAGACACTTAACAACCATTTCAGCTGCTTAAGATTTGATTAAGAATGTTATGAAATTAGTAGCTAGATTTAAAAGTTGACATGGATTTAATGGTTAAAGATTACTTCCTTAAAACAGAAGTTTTAAGGAAAGATATGTTTCTGTTTTATTAAAGAAGTTAATGAACTGGTGTGTCCTTCCTGGAGAGTGGGAGAGAAGAATACATTTAAATTACTTGAAAATTGAAAAAGCTCGCATTTCCACGCTGATTTGCAATTTACCTGTTGTGTATGTTTCACTCCAAGGCTAAACAAATCTCCCTAACACAGCATACAGCTTCACCTCCTTCCACACCCAGGTTCCATACTGTAACAGTCAATGAACTACATACCACTTACATAAAGCTTGATCCAGGTCTAAGTGACATCAGTGCCAGACACAGCAGGCTTTGGATAAAGTTAATGGCAATAGATATAAGCAGTTCTTATTGCTTTGCCACATCAGAACCTAGTAATGTATGAATATCAGATTCCCTGAATCTTCTAGATGGTCAAGAAGGAATTTCTCAACACTTCAGGAAGATTCATTGGGATATCAATTTTCTACTAATGCCCTATATCCTTTCCTTCCTCATCAGAATTCTCCTTTTCCCAAGTTTCTCTCCTCAGTTATAATCCTGAATGGCCTAAAAAGCCCTCCACTTCTCCCCTCTCTCTCCTGCATCACAGAATAGCATCCAATCACCCTGACTTACCATATGCCTGCTGCAGTCTTCATACAACAGTCTCACCTCAGGACACACACAACACACCTCATTAGTCAAAGGAGAGAACCTATGGGTTTCCTCACAGGTCTGCTGCACCGTTCTAGGATAAGACTGACCTGTCTGTGAAGCAGAATTCCAGATGGCACGGTGATACCGGCTGCATAAAACTCACTTGCTTGATTGACCCCACACCCATATAGGTAGATGCCCAGCTGCTTGGCAACCACCACAGCCCCCACGACAGCCATACAGCATGGTTTCCACACAGGAGAACTCATGTCTGTTGCCCTCAAGCTATGGATCTACGAGCCTCTCTCATGTCACCTCAACCTGGAGATCACAACATTGGAGACTTCCCTGTATCTCCTTTGCAGTGTGTATTAAGAAATGGAATTTGGAAACTTTCCTCAGCTACCTCTAGCCAACCATGTCAGAGCAGAAAAAGGAGTTAATCTTAAACAGAGAGGCATAGCATACAGACAGCGATTCTCAGCAAAAGCTGGAATTGAGCCACCTTCCCAGCACATCAAGTGTCTTTTCTCCTTGCCACAGTCCTGCCCAATGCACGTTCTGCAGCTGCAGTAGCCTCAGAGCCCCTTCAACTAAATTGCTATCCACCATTGTGGCAAGCACACAATTTCCCAGAGGGTGAAATCTGCTTCAGAGAATTTGGATAGCACTGTTCAAAGAGCACTAGCCTTACTGGCAATCTGACTGCAGCACTTCATTTATTTACAGCACTGATACCAACCAGGCAGACACAGGGAGGAATTTCCACCTCACCACAGCACTTTCAGGAGACAATCCCTGCGGTTCACTCTGGTGGTGTGCTGTACAGAGTAATCAATAAATAACATTTGCAGGCAACTTACATCAGCACAGATGGGTCACTGCTTTGTCTGCTGAGGTGATAAGAAAGTGCAACTATCAGACCACAGAAAGCAGAGAACAGAGCTGGAATGTGTTGTGCATCCCAGGGTTCCTAAACAGGACAGAAAGCAAAGTATGTGTAAGTCAGGAATGCAGAACTTAATTTTTTTTTCTTTTTAAGTAGGCTAAACCTTAAGTGTTAAATGCACAACATCTAAATTTGTACACCATCTACCAAAGACTGAAAATCCTTTTTCATATCAAAGTCTATTATTGTGAAAAAGACTGTGATTAGAGGCCTGTTTTTTGATCATATTATGTAATTCCTCTGTAATCAGCGATTAGCTAGGAAACCACATGAAAGGCAGGCCTTCTTTCCTCTTTAATGAAACACTAGAGGCAAATTGTCATTAAAACGAGGTGCCAGCGAAATGAACTGCACTGTATTTGTCTAAACTCTAAAACAATAAGTCGTTACTTGACCTGCCGCCAGGTTGCATGCAACAAACGCCAATGTCACCTAAATCATGCAGTGGAGATACAGTTTTGGCACCTCACTCTGAAATCTTTCTGCTGCTTTGTATGTTACATCCAGCCCCTGCCTGAACGATAACACTGCGGAGGGAGAGCACTCGCCACCATACATGACACCCCCAAGCAAGGAAAGAGGAGGCAATTTACATGCTCGCCAGCACACTCTTGGCATAACCAAGATAAGAAACTATCTCTGGGTGACTTAAACAGCTAAAATTGGCTAGAAACAATAAAAGAGAGAACATGAAGCTCAAGGAACGCTTTTCAAGACCAGCTTCATCTATGGAGTCCTCAGCTACAAATTAGGGATCCTAAGACACACTTGCGAATCCTGGCTGCAAAAGGACACAAATTTTGGCTGTGAAGGACATAAACTCAGTGGATCAGATCCGCGGTTGTTTCACTTATTAGGCTTGTTCAGTGCCTCCACACAATGTCTACCTGATGAAGTGAATGTGAGGTTACCAGATCCTGACATCAGAGCACTTTCTAGATAGGTTTTGAGAGACAATGCTTGTAGGATCTGTGAAACTTTAAGCCTTGTTCAGCTAGCACAAGCAAGGCACCTTCCACAGTATATCTTTTGCTTGACAAACTTCACAATTTGTACAAGACCAACACTTTCACAGAATAAAGTGGGTTTATTCATCTTATTTTGCCCAGTGATATACGTGATTTCTTAGCAGGGCTGACTTAAATTAAGAAAGACTTAATTTCTTACAGGGGCAAAGAATAGCTGGATAAGACAAAGTAATTTGCTGTTAAGCAACAAACCACTTTTTGCAACATGAGGTTTCTTTGGAATTTAATGATGAAATTCCTATTATCCTAATAACTGATATCACAGAAGCAAAATTTTAATTCAAATCACCTTCCTCTCATCATACTACCAAACCTCACAAAGATGAAAGAAAGAAGCATCTAGTTCTATCAAACAATCCTACTTAAACCAGTCATTACAAACGAAAGAGAGAGTTACACAGTATTACTGAAAGAATCCAGCATCATTTGTTTGACAAGTTAAACTTCGCCATCCAATTCCACTCTTCATTTTGCTGTTCCAAGTTTTGGGCCCAAATACATTTCGGGTTAAATTTTCCCAGGTTCCCTCTCAAATAAGAAATTCATATTCTTCAAAACACCAAAGAAAACTAGCTGGAGTCAAAATGTTCTGAAAATGGCTGAATCACAGCCTATACAAACATTCATTCCATTCCCAGGGCAACACAACTGCATACAGATCCACCCAGCAGCTTCTAGTGTATTACTGTCCCTTTGCCTTCCAACTTATTTAGAAAGCAAAATACTATAGAGAGTCCAGCAATATACCTGGGTATAGTCAGTTTGAGAAATCATTCCGCTCTGTTTCTCCCGCAAAACTGCACATGGCTGATTCCTCAGATTAATGTCTTAGGACCTCTTTACTTCCATATTTTCTGTATATTACACACAGCTTCTGCATTTGGCTGGCCTGTGCAAAGTGCCATTGTCACCTCAAAGCTCAGCTGTCAGCGAGCCAGGAAGGCAGGCAGGACAGGCATCGATATTTTTTACGTGCCTAGAGAGCAGGATTTTCCAGAATAATGCTACACAATGTTGTACAAAAGATGAGAATGAACAAAGGCGTCATTGCTCCAGCATCAGTGTGGTGTATTCGGCTCCATTTTGTCATTTTCCTCCCCCACTAATGATGCCTGGTAGAGCTTTAAATTAAAAAGATGAAAAAAACAATATATCTGATAATTGGACAATGATTCTTCTCAGTGGGAAAACAGGAATGACAGGTTTTACTCTTGGAAGCTGGTATTATCTGTCATACTAGACAAGGAGTTTGACTTTCTACTTTACTTCATTCTGTTGAGGTGACATGTAGTGCTTTCATACACAGTTTTGACTTTTATGCAGAAACTCCCATAGTCATTTTTAAAACAAATGAAATGGACTTACAGAGTTAAAGATGAAAGTGATGAGTTACAGCAGACCCAGTGGTTGGGGTGGTGATGTTCCATTTCAACCACAGAATCACCTAATCCCAAAACAACCCACTAAAAAGGAAGATAAAGGTGTCTTTGAACTTACAAGCCTTTCACCACTGGTAAAGGTGGGGAGGCAAATGTATTTTTAAAAAGTGGCGATAGCAGTTTTCTGTCCTACATTATTCATCCTTTTTGCTTCTTTCTTCCTTTTCAAAAACCCCAAAAACATGCATGTAGCAAACTTATCTTTCAAAGATATGCTAAAATAAAGCATATGTCCTACTCCAGACACAAAGTGCTCTGAACACAGCAGAACCATTGTGGTAAACAGAAATTCTTGCTACCAAAGGGAACATTCCTCTCAACTCAAAGACTTTGCAGACTGCTGCAGCATTAGCATCACTGAAGGGGTTTGCATACTGACTGGCTTTTTAAATACAGAGACAAACTCCAAATATTCACAAAAACCAGGCACCATCTAATTTTCCACTCTCTCGCGATTTCACCATTATTCAACCAATTTTTTTCTTACTTCCTCTCCCTGGCTTCATCATGGATCCATGCTATCGCTCATATCAAACAACATGCAGAACAGCTGTTGACAGTCAGCCATTCCACACATACAATGGTAAATATAAAGAAATACTATCATCCTATTTCTGAACATATGAAAACTTTCTGAATGAGACTGTAAAAGAGAATCCTTCCCTCATGCCCAAAGGTAAGAGAAAACGATAACAGCTACTTGTTCTCTACAAGGTTAACTACAAGCTTAACTGTATTACAATGGATACTTGTTTTCAGTGAACACTAACAACCAGGAAACATGAATTATTCACAGACCTCTTGTAAAACTGGTTAGAGACAAACTCTAGGGAGAGATGCCCACCAGCCTTATCTACCCATCATCCATGGAAAACAAAATATTACTTTCTCACAAGAGCTCCAAAAACCTGACAAGTGATAAGCTACCAGAATACAGACATCACTACCCATTCTGAGCAACGTTGTCTCTGTTTCTGTGCACTCCCAGCTGTTATCTGTGACTGTATTTTCATTGCTGAAATTTAAAACACATAAGGATAGGACTGAGGCAAAGGTACACATGTGTGTGCTCACACCAATTTACACAACAGGGTCCTGGTCTGTGACGAAGATTACTTGGCTAGAAGGTAAGACGAGCAACAACTTCAAGCAAGGGGCACGAACACTCATGTTTGACATAATGGTGAGTTTATCTTAAACAAGAAGAGTGCAGATTTCTACATTCCTATACAGTGACATACTTCTGTAAGAGTAAACCTGGGCCATATAAGATTCCGCAGACATCATTTACCTTTTCTGCTATATCTGGACAACAAGTTCATGTTATACAAACAGAAAACTAAGGGCATAGCTATCGAAGTTATGACTAAAGTGCAAGTCTGACTATGGCTGCAAACATCGCTCACTGAAACGGGTGATATCTGACAATTCTCTCCAAAATTAACACTCTTAACAGCTCTTGCTTGAACCCCATGGGTTTCTAAATTGGAAAGTACATAAAATTGATGAGCCTTGTCTTAAAAACCTCCAACAGAGCTGGAAGTATTTTATGTGGTAGAAATAAAGCTGTCTAATAATCCTATACTTCTAGTTTTGGTCACTTACACATCCGGGAATTCTGTCTATACACATGGGCCCATTCGGTGTTGTTTAGAAATTTATTTGGGCAGTCTTAGCAGATTGAGAGAGACGTATACTTGTAATTCTTTCCCATTATAAAACCCTTAGACAAATATTTCAAAATTATTAGTATACAGATGAAGCCTACATTGTTGAAAACAGGAATCAAGAAGCATTGTTATCCTGATAAATGAGTTTAAAACTCATTAAACAACAAACCAAACTACATTAATGTGAGCTGAGAATGGTTTAAAATACACATAGGATTTTTAGTAACTGTCTATTGAAGCGATAAATAAGTTACTAGAAAATACTTTCTTCAGGTACAAGGTAATGGAAACTATATAACTTCCATTAAAAAAAAAAATACACTTAACAGAGAGCTGGAGGAAGCAGCTCTGCCACATATGAACACACTCACATAAGCTTAATTTTTCTGACCCAAGTCTAAAATCTGAAATTTTTCTAGGCTATTAAGATAAACCATAGGTTCCTTAAGCAGTTTAAAAACAAACAATCTGGATGACAGGTAATTAACTGGTTCTGGATAATTTTCCAATCCAAACCAGCTGACTGGAACAGAATGAAGAGGACTGACTGATTGCAGAAACCTTCTGGGATGTGCTCTTCTGCCCCACAGCAACACACTGACGCGCTGGAATGCTAAAGCCAGATATCAAGATGGCTAAATTCCAGACTGACTACCTGTGGAAAAAGCAGGAGGGCATACCTGACTGTTTTTAGAAATATATGTTAAATATTTGGGCCCAGATCACAAAACAAATGGAGTGGGAGACAAAAATCAGCACACCAGGCAATTCTACTCAAGTGAAAAAGATGGCACAGAAGTTCCCATGTCTCCAATTTGATGGATGTAATATCTGAAAATAAAAACACCTTCTCCAGGAAAAAGAGATAACCCTTTCATATATCAAAG